CAGTGTTATAAAACACAAAAACGAAGACGCATCGTTATCAAGAATTATTTTATAATTTCATGTTGACAACGGGAACAAATTCATTCCTGAAAAGTTAATCAAAGATAAGTAAAATTTAATTTTTGGGGCCGATCTTATAATTTATTTTTAATTCGTATATACATTGGAATTATACTTAGGTGTATATATATATATATGTATTTATTTGTATTTATAAATGGGTACGAGGAGAGAGAACCTCAAAAAAGAAATGAATTTGGATTCAACAAGTATATGTTGGAAAATGGAAAAATTAGATGCGAATTGGTGATTTTTAAGGAAACTTTCACATCGTTAATAATTTGTAACACAAATTATTGTCGGTTAAGATACGTCATCACGAAAGTGAACATAACTTTAACATTGTTTAGTCTACAAGAAAAGATCAAGTCAATATTAAGTATACTTCTCTCTTCTTTAGAAGTTTATCTTAAATGAATCTTTCCTGAAATATCAAATGTACTGCTACTGTGTACACTTCAGTCACTCTTGCTGATTAGTTTCTGTTTGAGCTTGTCCATAATGAAGGCGTTTATGATATTCTCATGGTTGAGTCGTGTCAGAATGTCGTGTTCTATACTAGGCAAGTCCAAAAAGTTTATAGCATGTCTTCCGACATAGAGTTCTGGAGTCTGTTCTTGATCAGCTTCAGCTTAGAGAATGATCTTTCTGATAGTCACCGTTAAGGATAGGTACTACATTGTTAACGTCACTTCTACATTGGGAAAGCATTCTCTCACATTATTTACCACCATAATTTGATACATCCACCCTTCGCTACTAATGTTTATTTAAATTTTCTCATATTTATATGAAAGTGGTTGGAAAAAATCAAAAGCATGGTTTATTGTATCGAGTATGCGCGTAGAATGAACTATCTATGTCTACGATAATCATACATGACCAGTGAAATTATTTTTTTGTTGTTGTGCGAGCCCCTTTGTGGTGCAGGCCCCTAGGCGCACGCCTATGTCACCTATGCTTGTTTCCGGCCCTGCTATAGTTAGGTAGTTATTAGGCGAGAGCTATAATATTATACAGGGTGTTTCAAAGAAACCTAACCCCCTTGCTAGGGTAGGTAGAACATTGCAAAACAAGTTGGGTTTGCTCAGTGAAAAAATGTCGTAACGGCATCTGTTTTCAAGATACAAGGTGTTGAAAAAATATTTTTTTACACATTTTTAACGATTATGTCGAAATTACTGGCAACATTATGATGAAATTTTGTATGGATGTGTTCTAAAAGCTGACACACCGCATGAATTTCTTTTTATATCTGACACTCATATAGAGGGCGCTAGTTACACGGTTCGTACCGAGTACTTTTGAACATAATTTTTTTGAGGTTGGATTTTTCAGTCCAAATACAATGTGAACTTGAACACTATTCAATTTTACACCAAAGTGATGCTCTTGGTTAAACTCGATACTGTGTACCGTTTTCGAAATATTTCGATTTGAAAATGCTGAACTCTGATTCTGGTATTAGAATAAGTATTATGAAAAACAATTATCTATTTATTAAGGACAAAAACATTAACACTATTTGACTGCTGAAGTTATCGATTAAACAAGATCACATCAGGAAATACCTAATTAAATTTGACTCAAAACATCATCTATATAGTTTCTAGTTAGAGTAAGTGTCCAAAATGTCCTCCGTTTTCACGAATTCACAATTCGATCCTTTTTTCTAAAGAAAGCATCAATCTTCTCAACGGTTGAGGATCAGCTATGAGATCATCGATAATGTTCAATTCTTTCTTGCAGCTCTTGACGTGGTTATCAATAAATAGGTAACAGTATTTTTTTATACTTTACTTTCAACTAGCATCAGTGTTATACTTCAGCATTTTCAAATCGAAATATCCAGAAGACGGTAAACAGTATCAAGTTTCACCAAGAGCACCTTTTTAGAGTAAAATTGAATGATGTTCAAGATCACATTGAATTTGCAGTGAAAAATCTAACCTCAAAAAAGTTATGTTCAAAAGTACGCAATACGAACCGTGTAACTTACGCCCTCTATGAGTGTCAGATATAAAAACAAATTCATGCGATGTGTCAGCTTTCATAACACATCCATAAAAAAATTCATTACAATGTTGCCAGTAGTTTCAACATAATGGTGAAAAATGTGTAAAACAAATATTTTTTTATATCTTCAAAACGGATGGCCTTACGACATTATCTTACTGAGCAAATCCAACTTATTTTGCAATGTTCTACCTACCCTAGCAAGGGGGTCAGGTTTTTTTTTGAAACACCCTGTTTATTATACCCAGTCGCATAGTAGGTCGCCTACTAGGTTTTCATTTAGATCGACAATGGTTCAGTCATCAGAAGTGATGACTAAGCTTCTGCTATTCAATTCAATTCATCATTCCTTCGAAAACAGTAGTACCTTGAGAGGTGTATATTATGAGACCATCTGAGAATATGAAAACATTGCAAAAATTGCCAACAAATTTTAATAGTATGACATCACTTTATACTCATGGTGACACATTATCGCTGAGATCTGCAACAGAACGTTTGCACAAACGACTGCATCGTGTTTGCTACCTTTTAATAACAAACCAGAGCTCTGTTGGATTGGCTCTATTATGTTCGAAGATTGGTTTATATTTCCGCAGCCAGATCTGCGTCTGACGTCTTCCCGAACAAAACCCAGCGTGACATAGGCAACCCCTTGAACAAGGCAAGGCATCCCTGGATCCATTGAGAAGTTATAGACTCATTAGCTAGCAAAGCCATATTAATAATGGGCTGATCTAAAACTATGAAGTAATTCACATATACAGGGTGACACACAAGGTTTTTGAGTAAGACAATGATGATCAAGTACTTAGGTAACTTATTAAAACAATATGGACTAATTTCGAAAATGTTCAGATTATAAAAATACGTATGCAGAAATAATGATTGAGCATGAACATTGTCAAAGTAGATACCAAAGTTTATGCCTATACCTAAATATACCTTTCCATTGATGTAGCATCCAAATTGTATTGAGAAATTCTCATGCATGCTATTCTGATTTATTTTATAGTTCCTCTGAGTCTCTGTAGGCCATCGAGAGACTAACTGTCAAGTCGCTGAGTTGAATATGTTGATTATTTGGCAATAGAACACGACAGATATAGTTATGTGCATAATAATGTTAGTACCTTTTATTGCCTCACTTCACTATTTCATGCTCATTACTTAAGGACGGCATATCCGTACCATATCTTGTGCTCATTGATATGGTAGCTGTAGCTATGATATTTTATGCTATTCCGCTACAGTTGTACGGGCTTACGCGGCGTTTCCTCGAATGGTCACCCATCCAAGTACTAACCGCGCTCGACACTGCTTAACTTCAAATATCGAACGGCTAGAGCCTTACCTGAGAAGCTAGGGCGACGCCCCTACAAATATTATAATATTCAAGATATTATATACTTACTCAACGGTTAATCAAAACATCAGTGTCCCCCTTGAAGATAAAATTGACGTGTCTTCTCGATTTTCCAAATTATTTTCCGGAAGGAAGATATTGAGGTTTTATTTTCATCGAGGTGGTTGAAATCCTTTATGGACACCATATGGGTCCAATCCCCCATATGATAGTGTGGGAGTCCCCTGACTCCAGGTATACCCACTAAACATTCCACCCCGTTTGTAGGCTCGTCTGACCGAGGTCTCCGACGACACTTAAACCTAGTGGCCCATTGTATCTCACCTACATGATGTTATCAATTTTACCATATACGACTTATGGTGCTTCTTAAGGGTCACTTCAATATGAAAGACCCTTTTCGTTCAGGTTCCTGAAGATTGTTCTTCCGAACCCTGTTCTCGTCTTCGGAGATGGCCAAAAGTTTTCCTTCTCCTACGAGTGACGGGGGAAAGGGTTGATCCAGCCCTGTGGTGCCCCCTGCACAGGGCTAAGGTTAGCTACTCTGAGATGTCGCCCTGTTTCCCAGAGGTCCCGTTAGCGACACCATACCTCGGTGCCATTCATCCATCACCACGGGTTCCCACAGCTTGGATTAAGTTGCCAAAGCCTCGTTGACCAGTCCTCGGCCACCTAGACAGATATCAGCAAATCGCCCCATCCCTGCCACAGATGTCCACAAATTGTATCCCATCTGGCCCGGAGATAGCAAAGATGGTCCCAAAATGCACCGCGAGCGGCCGCGGTCTGTCCTCCCCACACCACTTGATGGTGAGGTTGGGCTTGAAGAGGAGGATGAAAAGAGGAGTTGGCCAAGAAAGGCCGATAGATAGATTGAAAAAGGAAGAGAGAAGAGGATATCACCCAAGACAAGTTGAAGTATGGTGAATAACCGGCTAGGGTACCTCGGGTTCACCATTCCAGTACTCACAAGTTGTGAGCCCCTGTGAGATATTGAGGGTGGGAAGATTTCAAAATGTCACCCTAGGAATTTCTCGTGACAATTATTATGGCTGTTCACAAACATTCATATTATGAGATCACTGTATACGGTATAGCAGAATTTATTTGTTGATTCTATCTGAAAAACTCAGGGTACATACAATGTACGCTGATGAAAACTAGAGAAGTTGAAAAAATCTTCTTGAGAAGAATTTTTGTGAGGAAACCTGTAATGAGCTTTCAACCCTATCAGTAATCCGAATCAGAGATAATGGTTTGGTGAATTCATGAGAGCTCTGTTGGTTCAATCTTTTACTATAGTGAAAAAATATTCTCATGGATAATTGGAAATATTTATTAAAAAAATTACTGATGATTCGATGATGAAAGATTTCAATATAGAATACATCATGAATCTAACTATTCTACATCTAAAAGCTGAAGAAGTAAAAAAATCTTGAGAAGAATTTTTGTGAGGAAATCTGTATATAATAAGCTTTCAAGAATCTAACTATTCTAAATCTAATCTACCTACTCATTCATATAGTTAGGTATGCATCATACTATAGGTACCTATATGGGCAGCAGTATACGTTACAAAGAGGTCAGTGTTATAGCTAGCACAAATTAGGGAACATTTGAAGCACAAGGTAAATATTGGGAATTGCCTTGTATAACCATTCCATGAATTGATTTATGATATATTCTCCATTAACAGTGAACGAATCCAGCGATAATTCAGGGTAATTTCAAAACCATTACGCAAAATAAACTATTTTTTCCAGGTTTGAGTAATGGAGGCTCATGAATTTTTGAATAACTACAATGTTAAACCGTCGAACGATATCATTTTTTTGATTGCACCTCAGAGGCTAAAAAGGCCTTATCGTGAAAACAAATAGCTTATATTTGCCGTGTATCCTAGATAACATCTAGGAAAGAAATTACCAGCACAAAGTGAGTTGATATTATGTGCTCTCCACCGGGGTCTATTAGGAAATAATGACTTGAAAACAGTGGTTAGAAACAGGTGGTTACGTAATGCCTGATTCTCTGTCAGCATGACAAAAGGTTTTCATAAATTGGACGCCTTTGTTGGAAAATTGCGGTATACCTATTCCAATTTTATATCCATTTCCTATATAAACACGACTATTTGTATTAGAAATGGATAATGGATTTGTCTTCCTTATTGAGAATTCTGGATGTATGCATTCTGGTTCGATTGCTTTTCAAACAAAATCAACTTTTTCCGACGGCAATAATGACATCAAATGATAAATTTCCCTGTTTATCTTTTCGATTGCTATTGTATTAAATGATTCGTAAGTTTCGTTGTTTGGATGGACAAAAGGTAATTATACCAACTTACCTATTTTGATATTCATTCGCCTCATTGGGTTCAAAATTGATGTCACAGACTAGGTTGATGCAGGATATAGGTATATCACATCAAATAAAATACTTCATATTTGAAATAATATGTAATATAAAATTACGGTTCACTTGATTCGGCCTTTCTTCTGTCACAGAAAAAAATAGTGTATTATACACGGGAAAATATTAGATTTTAGCTCACGGTTTTTTGTCTCCCTCCGCTACGCGTCGGGACACAACACAACCTGGGGCTAAAATCTACTACTTTTTTCCCTTGTATAATGAATAACTATTTTCCTATATAAACATGCGTTATCCGCAAACGCTTCGTTACCGATATATACAGAGCGTTAAAATTTCAAGCTTTTTTCACATCGATGAGACATCAACCAACTCTCACATAATGTCAATTGGTTCAAAAGAAACCTCATACCAAAACTTCTAAATGCAAATAATAGTCAGAACTCAATACATTCCTCGTTCATTGTTCCGTTGGAAAATTTTATTTGAAACTATAGCGAATCACAGATAATTATTTCAATTTATTTCTCGATAACGGTCGAATCACATGCGTGAAAATGACAAGGGACAAAATCTTTATTCGCGAGATTCACGAAGTGGGCGACATCTAGGTTACCTAATACGAACTTCAAACTGGGGGAAAACAAACTGTTGTCTATGGATAAAGTGCATAGACTACATTGCATACATCTTGCTGTATAGCTTTAGTTGTCGAACTTGTCAATGACATAAAGTGTTATCACTCTTATCAGTACACAGTACACAAACTAATGGCACTAATGAGATTGAGTGAGGATTGAGTTTGTTTTCCACCAGTTTTGACGTGGCTTGGACATGGAACGATGAAAACCGAGCGCCACCTGGTAACATCGATTCCCGCGAATAAAAAAACTTGATGGGGCGAAAATAAGCTTATTGGCCCCTGAACGCACGGAACGTTTTGCGGACACTTCTTTGTTGGAAAAAATCCCTTTAACATTTGCACCTGAAATGTTGATACTGAATTTTGAAGCATCCTGTATACCGTCAAACTGAGCTAGTCCGTTCCTGCCATGTTCTCCTATAGACTCTAGAGAAGTTCGATTCACATCAGCAGATCAGCAAACACACCGAATGCACAAAGACCGAACTTGATGTAACGAATCGACGTATAAGATGCAACCCCTCGCAAGATGCTCGTAGGGCACGGTAGAAGAGGGAAGATCCTTTTCATAGACCACCCCTGGCACCCCTGTCACTGCAGCACCCTTGATTATCGGTATTCTTGCGTTTCGTTTCTCTCGCAACCATGTTGATGCCTCGAGCGGAGTCTCAAAATTGGTTTTGAACTGATGCATTAATTGACAATTTGTTGTCATTCTTTGGCGCAACTAATGGCGGACTGAAGTCCCGCCAAATTGCCTAAATCCAATAAGGAGTTTCGGTGGAGTTCGACGTTAGCCGAATGCAATTTGGTCGTGTTGTTCGGTGAATTGTGTAACTTCATAAAAGGGAGCTGACGGCTGAGAATAAAGTTTCCATTTCGCAAAATGGGAATTTTATATAGACCATTAAGTCGTTGTTCTTCAATTTTTCTGGTGAACGAAATGAGATACTTGATTTCCTCATTACTTTCAAACTTTAATTGCATTTCTTCGTTTTGATTCTTCTGTGAGAAAGTTGATAATTCATTCGCTTCTTGCAACAATACAAATTGAAACCAGGAACAGTAAATTGTTAGATTCTAACTCGAGGAGTTGAAGACAGATATAATATTGATGACCGACTTGTTCTGATGCTATAATATAATGGAAAAATGTGCGCTGCAACCGCATTCTGACGGCGAATCCGAAGAATCGGCATTCCTAGGCATTCCACATTTATTCAACTCTAATGAACTTGAAATTCATAGACTGTTACGATTTTTTAATTGAAATGGGATTTTTGATTACGTACGAGCTGATAGATCAAAAAATTATACTTAATATACGTATATGTCAAATTGAATGAGCGCTCCTAAAAAGGAGGTCAATTCATTAAATTCGTTCGCTCTTTTCATATATCGAAACAGCTCTACAGAATTCTCATATACAGGGTGAGTCATAACTAACCAGCCATAACCTAATGGCGGATAGAAAAAATCAAGGTGAGTTGATATATTATATGTGATGAAATATATTCTGCCTATTCCAAACAGAAATACAGGGCATTATTTGAATTCGGGGCGAAACTTTAATGCATGATATTTCAGGAACGTCTCTATATTATCGCCTGCAATACACCAGCAAATTACCTCTACTGACACTCCATAAGATGGCCTACTATGTAAAAAAAATCCAGAGCCAGACTTGGGAAATTCATTATATCGTCGTGGCCGAGTTTGTCACTATGCGCTGAAATTCGCTAGATAGCCGTTCACGATGCAAAGGTATACTGTCGGTTCGAATCCGGCTATCGGCTGAGTAAATTTCTTCAAAATTTGGGATTCATGGTTATCCTGGCAGCACCTCGATGCCCTAGAAGTGCTTCGGAATCCACTATAAGCTGTAGGTCCCACTCTTCCTAACCCCGCACAGGTTTCGACTTCTGGGGAGTTGGTTCCCAACTTTGAAGTAGCGATATACAAATTTCAAGAAATTTTACAAATGTCATAATTTCGACTTCCTAGATAATGTTTTTCAAAAATTCAAATATCAGAAATATGTGTAGCTTTGCATTTTGTACGGCACTCTTCGACCAAATTGTTAAAAATATATCGAGCAAAATACCGATTGTATGATTTCGCACGGGCATATTGTAGTCACGTCATTAATCAAAATATTCATTTAAATCCATTTCTTATTGCATATCAATGTATCATAAGAGTTGGGAAGAGGCTCTATTCTATTCGATAAAGAATTCCAGGACCGGACTTGCTTTTCTGGAAGAAGGCCTTCCAAATATAAACACAAATAATTTCCAATTGAAATCTGCTTCCCCATGTGAAAATGTGGGAACATTGTGCTCAATATGAAGAATTATTGCTTTGGTGGAATATTTTTATCCGAATCAGTGCCTACATACTACATATACAGTGCGTTCATAAAGTGTGGAAACGCTCCATTATCTTACGATATAATTATTTTCAGAGGTAAAGCGCGGACATGTCGATTTTGTATTTCAGTCTTCCATCTTTTTTTACAAAAAAATAATTTTTTCCCCCACCACCTTACAAGATATGACGTCATCGATATTTTTTTTTTAAATTGAAAGGGTATATTTTTATATCAAAAATTGAAAGCCCATATTTTTCTGAGTTCAACCATACCACATACGTCATATCTTACACTTCAAGTTACAGTATACTGAGTATAAAAGAAACCAGTGTTCATATTTCTCAACATTCATTTAATTATTTATTTGCAATGAAAATATCATAAGAAGTAGTGAAAATAAACAAATAACAAATCTACAGCAAATGCTCGAACTACTACTACTTCTTATGATATTTTCATTGCAAATAAATAATTAAATGAATGTTGAGAAATATGAACACTGGTTTCTTTTATACTCAGTATACTGTAACTTGAAGTGTAAGATATGACGTATGTGGTATGGTTGAACTCAGAAAAATATAGGCTTTCAATTTTTGATATAAAAATATACCCTTTCAATTTAAAAAAAATATCGATGACGTCATATTAGTGATTCACACGAGACCAACGAGACGAGACTTTCATAAAGTCTCGTCTCGTCTCGCCGATGAAACATGAAGTCTTGTCTCGAGTCTCGTCTCGCAGCCCCGAGTCTCGTCTTGTCTCGCGTCTCGTACGAGAGTCTCGCAAAAGTATCGCAATTTCGTCATGCATAATCTTGTTCCATTCTAGTACGGGATATTCACATTTGCCTACAATCTAGGTATAATGTAGAAGTAGAAAGAGAAAATTACAACAAAAATAACATTGTTTATGGGAAAGTGAGTATCTAATAGGTACAGTCATATTCAATAAAAAAGGGTACAAGTATTAAAAATATAGGATTTCAGGATCCTAGTTCTAGTTGTGTGAAACTGGCTCAGCCAATGCTTTGTGTTTTCGAGAACCTATGACAACTTTACTGTCAACATTTGGTGAACAATCATTCCCGATAGCCCATTTTATGCAGAATAGGATGATGTTAATTTCTCTCTTGTACGCTTTTTTATTGAATACGACTGTACATACTTACATCATCAAACATCTAAACAAGAAAAAATAAAAACATAGCATTATATATTCGGAAGTTATAAAAATGAAATAAAAAGTAACACGTATATTCTAAACAAATAAACAAAACAAAAACTTTAATCCAACATTATTTTACTTATTTGAGAAATAGGTATATAAGAAAATAGTTATTCGAATTACTAGGCAGAAAAGTAGTCAATCTACATTTCCTGCCGTGTGAAACATAGAATTTTTTCTCCAAATGATATAAAACCAATTTTGTGTGATTTTTTTATTGAAAACTCCATCATTTTGTGTTCACCATATGTCAGTGTCAATTTTGATTACAAATTTCATCAAAATTTCTTGAAACGTTGCATAGGAACAAACTTTTTCTGCCAAGGCAGTAAAAGTACACCTTTTCTGCCTGTTAAGCGGCAGGAAAAAGCCACTATTCCTGCCGCTTGGAAACAAACCTTTATCAGTCAGATCAGCCTTCACAATCGCAAATGTTTTTGTTTTTCACCCTGTCGTTAAGACATAACAAACATCGTGCCGATTCATTATTAAAGCGATTCCGATCTTTTCTTATAGAATTCTTCCTAAATATGTTTTATTATGAATGAAATTCTCAAGTCTGCAGTCGGCACACAGAAATATTTACCTGCGAGACTCTCGCACGAGACACGAGAAGTCTTGCACGAGACTCGAGACGAGACCAATGAAAGTCTCGTCTCGCCTTGTCCGAGTCTCGTCTCGAGTCTTGTCTCGAAAACGAGACGAGACCATGCGAGACTCTCGAAAACGAGACTCTCGCGGGCATCACTACGTCATATCTTGTAAGGTGGTCGGGAAAAAAATTATTTTTTTGTAAAAAAAGATGGAAGACTGAAATACAAAATCGACCTGTCCGAGCTTTACCTCTGAAAATAATTATATCGTAAGATAATGGAGCGTTTCCACACTTTATGAACGCACTGTATATATAGAGCAACTTTTGAAGAACTATTGAATATGATATAACATGTAAGCTCTCAATCAGCGAATTGAATTGCGAGTTTCATTCATTCAGGAAGCACTTAAATAGAAGGTTGTGGTGGATGTGAGAAAATGGGTTGAAAGAGGTATTTTCTTTCAACAGGATGAGGCACTTCCACATTACTCAATACAAGTGAGAGAATACCTTGACACCCAATTCTCTAATCGTTGGATAATGATTGGAATATCAGACTGAAGTCAACACCATAGAGAGGATAGTTACAGATTCAGATATGATCAGAAATAATGAACAAATTTTCCGAAAAACCATGAGAGATCTCCCGAAGAGATGCAGAAAATGTAATGAAATTAGAGTGGGACATTTTCAGAATCTTCGTTGAAAAATACCAAGATACCTACAGATAAATATTTTTCGAAAATTATAATTGTTTAGTAGTTTTTCCATAATGATCACCCGATCAGTTTGGCTAACACGGTATCTGTAGGAGCCAACACACAAAAATTGTTTTTCTGGGGTCAAAAAAGTGGTGATAATGAAGTAAAAATGAAAAATATCATACTGTATATACATATATCTCCGTGATAACAAAAATCACAGTCCAAAAAATATATGAGAAACTGTGCGTTCTATTCAAATAAAATTCGTAATTTGGTACGCTTTCAGGAATCACCCTGTGACACTTTTGATAAGTACTGTGAAAAGGCCCCATTGCGACAAACAACTTCCGCATTGTTTATTATTCTCGATAAGAAATTACGGTGAATAGAGGGGGCCTCTTCGGTGGATAACCCTGTACATCTGAATTTGGTTTACGAACCCTACCACTATAGGTCAAGTCGTGTCTCTGAGTTTCAGTCTCGATAAGCCGTAGCCGTTAATATTATTTTGTAATTCATGTGAAGAAAACAAAAATTAGTGTACCACTGAGTGTATTGTGAAATTAGCATTAGAAAAAGTGTAGCAAAACAGAGATTTCTAGCGACAGATACATAAGATTCTCAATCGTCAACTCAGTACGAGGATCGGTCAACAGATCTTCAATTACATTGTTATAGATTCCTGATCCTACAACATAGAGATAAATTCAAATTGAGAAATATCTCACATTGCTACAGAACTAGATACAAAAAAGATAGGATATATTGTAACTCACCTGATAACATCAAGACAGTTAGAACAATACATATTTTCAAAAAACTTGTGAACATATTGCTTCATGTAACACCACGAGCTGTCATACACAATATTCTTAACTGAACGGAGTCACAAGATATCACAAAAGGGATATAAATTAAGGAATATTTGATTTAATTAATTATTATTATTATTATTTTCATCATTATTAATATTGTTGTTTTGGTTTTTGATATTTTTATTATTATTATTAAATTTTTATCAATGAAGTATTAGGTGAAAATAGATGTATGATGAAAATAGGAAATATATAGTATCCAATTTAAGAACATACACCTCACGCACAAACTTCCTCGAGTAGTTTCAGTGGGATGTACTATTCTTTGTTTCCAAACAAGATTTGAATCTTTTTTGCAGTACATATTTAGAGAATAATTTATATCTTTTGTTGTTATTTTGGATACTTATGTATATCATATATGTTTGTGTGGAAATAAAGATTATTATTATTATTATTATTTTATTATATTCATCCTAGAACGTTTGCTTGCAGGTCTGGTTCCAGAACCGCCGCGCCAAATGGCGCCGCCAGGAGAAGATGGAGGCCGCCCGCCTGGGCCTGAGCGAGTACCACGCGGCCACCCTCTCTCGGGCGGCCGGCACCAGCCTCTCCCTGCCCATGGACCCGTGGCTGTCGCCGCCCCTCCTGTCGGCGCTGCCCGGCTTCCTGAGCCACCCACAGACCGGCTACCCCAGCTACCTCACCTCCCCCGTGGCATCCGACCCTGGGAGGCCGCCCATGGCCCACGCGCATCCCTCCAGTGCGCCGCCCGACCTCAGGAGCACTTCCATAGCCGCTCTGAGGCTCAAGGCGAAGGAGCACGTGGAGAGCATCACCAAGGGCATGCAGATGGTTTAATGCCCGACCTCAGGAGCACAGCCATAGCCGCCCTGAGGCTCAAGGCGAAGGAGCACGTGGAGAGCATCACCAAGGGCATGCAGATGTTTTAATGCCCGACCTCAGGTGCACCTACATAGCCGTTCTGAGGCTCATGTTGTAAGAGCACGTGGAGAGCATCATCAAGGGCATGCAGATGGTTTAATGCCCGACCTCAGGTGCACCTACATAACCGCCCTGAGGCTCAAGGCAAAAGACCACGTGGAGAGCCTCACGAACGGCATGCAGATGTTATTGTGTGCTAGTGTGGGGTGGTTTCGTTGAGGTGCATAGGCGGTGATGGTGCTGATCGTGCTACATTTGGTATCAACAATCGGATACAGAGGAGTGTACAAAAAACGGCTAGGACTGTAACTTTCGGTTCATTCGAAATAGGGTTTTGAAAATTGGTGGGCAGCTAGTATACCAAGTTGCTCATTAATTGACGAAACAATTTCTGTTCTACCACTTCCAGTTTAAGTGGAAAAGACCAAAACTTTTGATTTTTGAATGTGACACCCTGAATTGTATTCCATAATCGATTAGGGATTGTCATAACGAATTTTATCGATACCGGGTTTGATAAGGTTATTTCAAACGATTACGTAGATATTCGCGTTCTAAGTTTCCTTATGCTCAATGAGTGTGGCAGAGAAATAAGTTTTGATATTTCGAAATCACACCCGTTGAGCATATGGAAACTTCGAACGCAAATATCTTTGTAATCGTTTGAAATAACCCTATCCTACTCGGTTGAATTCTTCATGATAATCCCTAACCGATTATGGAATACAATACAGGGTGTCCCATTCAGAAATCAAGAGTTGGGGTCGTTTCCGGTGAAACTGAGAGTGATAGAAGAAAAATGTTTTTCATCTATTACTGATCAATTTGGTATACTTGCTACCCACCAATTTGCAATTTCTATCTAGAATAATCAAAAAGTTACAATCCTGGTCGTTTTTTGTGCACTTCGCTGTATATAGTCTGTGATAGGAGTCCATCATATTTCAAAATGGAATAGTCAGTTACCAGGGATAAAAAAGACAGTCATCTCCACAATTTTGATAGTAATCAATAAGTTATTCTGTCGAACTATTGTGTTTAGAGCCTAAATAGGCTCATCTTCAGCGAAAGGGAGAATTATGAAGGAGAAGAGTAATTATAATTATTTTATAATCTCCAATTTATTATGGCTCGGAATTTGTACGATAAAATTTGATTGAATAACTTATGATTACTATCAGAATAATTGTGGAGATGATTTGGTGTTTTTGATCTCTGGTAATCATATAGAAGCTCTCGAGATAGAATTAAAATGAAAAAGTAGGAGAGATCTAGGTAACTTTTTTGAAAATATCCCCAAAAATTCATGAAAACTATGATTTGCGTCTTGTTCGTAAACTTAAATGTGATAACTCGTAGCCATTGGAGTAGATGAGCTATGAGGGCTCTGGACCAAAATTCCATGAATCATCTTATGAAGGTCAAATCTGGTCAAAAATTGAAAACTTCATGTATATGAATACTTATAATAGTTGAAGGCGTGTCAAAGTAGGACGATGTGATAAATCGAAAATACAAGAGGTTAGATACATGAAACATTTCAATCAACAACAGTCGACCTACCAATCAGAAGAAGACCCTTATTCGTTCCTTCTGACTCTGAAGTTGAATGCCTTCTCTATATTTATTACATGAGATATTATATACAGCAGCACTCCATTAGGCGTGAAACCAGTTCACCAAGCGATGTACACTTTGTTTTTTTCTTCACAAAGTTATTTTCCTTCTCCTTTTGTGACCTTGACCAAAGCTGCGTATCACCATGCCACATAATGAATACGCCTTCTAAACCACCTAGATGCCATTACCGGTCCCTACCCACGGACCAGATTGAACATTCATGAGACAATACATGAAATTTTTGGTCCAGAACCCCCATAGCTTATCTACTCACTGGCTCATCACAATATTTCGATTTCAACAGATAATAATGTGGGATAGAGAGGAACACTAGATCTGTCCATCGTCTCCTCAAGCAGAGGAACAAGTCCAGTCCCTGGAGAGAAAGAACAGTGCATCTATCTTGAGAAACTCTCTATTTTCTCGATATGAAATTCAATGGCGCATAATTTTCCTCACTATAGAGCTTGTTTTGGAATGAGTTATAGAAAAATTAACTAGTTTCGAAAATTTATCAGCTTTCATAATATGCTATTGAAATATTTATTTGTTTTACTAGGCAGGAAAGAAGTAGATGCACTGCCGGCTGATAGTTCATAGCCGAGCGTAGCGAGGCTAGAAATTCATCCAAGACAGTCAATCTACATTTGCTGCCGTGTGAAACTCAATAATGTTTTCTCCAAATATTTATGAACCAATTTTGTGTAATTTTTTAATTGAAAACTCCATAATTTTGTGTTCTCCCAGTCAGTGTCAATTTTGATTACCAATTTCATTCAAATTACTTGGAACGTTGAACAGCAACAAACTTTTTCTGCCTAGGGAGAGAGAGAGTACACCTCTCCTGACGGAAGAAAAGCCACTTTTTATGCCGATTTGAGAGAGAAAAATGTTCTACCTGAAAGACATCAAATCGCTATTTCTCAGAAACGAAGCAGAAACACGTTCGAATATGAACTTTCTCCTTGTGATTGGCTGAAGATTATTCTTCTGGATTTTATCAAAACACATAATTATGCCGCTTGGTGTCTTGATCTCGATCGACGATATGACACTTTTATTACCCTGTTGGAGGCAAACAGAAGCAAGTCGATAGGCATTTTTTGGTGATATACGATTGTTTATTCAATATTCCATGTATTGAAATGATTGACAGAACTTTACAAAAATACCATTATGAAGTACGATGAAGCTATTTACCGTCTATGTGTGGACTGTGTTCATGTGTGTAATATGTAAATAACATGATGTGATCCTTCTTTTCGTTTTCGTGTACATATTCTGTAAATTATATTGTTGGACTTTGTGATGAGTGTATGTATTTTCAGGCATTCTCGCCATCACCGTGTGTATCTAGTCGATCGTTTGACGAACAATCTTGTTTTCATTGGGTTTGTTCATATTTTGACCAAATCTTAACATCATTATGTACAACTGCGATGCAGATGTCGTACGACAAAATCCAATATTATATGGTAGAATCAATCATCAATTACATATATCTATACTTATAGTGTTCCTCTATTTCTATTGGTTCGACATTTTGTATTAGCGAATCCGTTGATTTTTAAGGCCACTGCTATACTGTTATACCTCTTCAGTCTTTAACAAATGAATTGACATCTATTCCTGTCATGCATTATTGAATTTATATGATAGTTTTGCAATCATATTGTAAAATGATAATGCCATTTTACTTTTCTAAATTTGGTGTTTTCATATTGGCGAAAAATTACTGGTTCCTCTACTTTTTTGTGAAATAGAGCTTCCGAAAAAGAACCTCTTTATATATATAGGCGTATAACAAACAACTTTCTGGAAGGCACCTCATTTGGACTATTGATTGTATTTTTGAAGATAACTGAATTTGGGGATCATCAGAACTTTGGAGCCCGATGAGAATTGATTTTGTGGCATGGATACTGGATGGAAATAATATTTGTTAATAAATAATATATCATAATTATTCATTGAGACCAGATTTTTGTACATTGATTTGGACAGGTATGGAGATTTGAAATTTGAGGAAAAATTCTTGGTAAGTATTTTCATCATGGTGAAAAACTCTCATTTTGCGAGTCTCTATATCACTTATTAAAATTGTTGTACAAATATCTGGACCAACCTGTATATTCAAAGCGTAAAAGCTTCTATAACTTGAACGAAAATATCTCATACCATCCAGCAATTGAAGTTTTCATCTGATATGTTGAGATTCTGGAATCGATATTTGTACATAATGTATACAGTAAGAGAGGCACGTTTCAATGGCGTTGATATTTTTTCAAAACGCATCAAATTCATATATTTCAAGGTGTATATTGGTTACATATATGTGCAATTCAAAATGTTCCTCTAATGGGGAAAGAATGCAAGAAATAATTCCGAAAATATTTTAGTTTTTCACAAGGAACTGGCATCAGCAGCAGTCATTTGAGTATTATATGTACAGACGAAATAGAAATACGTGTATCTTCTGTAAATAAGATGAAACTGATGATTGTACTAAATGTTAGCGTCTCATGGATGCTATCAAATCATAACTATAAAATGTCTATATTTATTATTTGCAACATTTCAAATATCATTTTTCTTAGAGCCGTCAAGTTTTGTAAATATATCACAATAAATAATCTCTGTATATTTTGTCTTTCATTTATCGACCTAATTAAGTGATGATCTCTTCTATAATTTAATCCCAGAAATACTAATTGAAATCCATTTGTGCAATTATGCATGTTTGCTTGATCATAAATTTCGTGTTTGAGATACATTTCGAATTGAAATTCATTCAGAAGCGTGAGGAACAGTATGTCATTTATTCGTCCCAAGAAAATGGAGAAGTTACAATTGATGGTCGTATATATTTTCTTACCTGACCATTCGATAGCCTCACCAATATTGGCAAATGTTATCGTTGGAACGAAGTAATTGAACTCGATTAACTGAGTGTATAATAAATAATGTATCTTGATGGTGTGATTTGGTGATACAGTTTGGCGAGGGGCATACCACCGATGTGGATTTTGTACACCAATTCTCATCAATTTCCATGATAAATTCACGATTCATTATGAATTCTACTGATTTTCCTTGAATTCCAACAATTTCTCATAAATTCTCACAATTCTCCTCTAATTTCCATTTAACACGGAAGATCGAATTCACCCAATTCCCAATGTATTTCCATCACTAGTGATTCGAAATCTTTATTTGGGATTTTCCTGTTTGATGAGATATACTATACCATTATTTTTCAACTCATTGATTGTGAATCGAGCAAATGTTGGAAAAAT